CGTCCTCTGCCACACCTTCGGGAGCAGCTCGCGTGCGGGGAGGCAGGCAGGCGCAGCAGGCGCTGGCAGCGCGAGAAGGGCACGCAGTGGCAGCAGGCTGTGGCAGGGCAAGGAAGGCGGAAGTGCAGGAGGGGGCATCTTCAACTGGGAGGCGCAAGGACATACCAATACTATATGTCCTCCTCGGAGGCGCGCGTCCGACCCGAACACGTAGTATACCCATATTGTAATAGATCGTTTCCCGAGCGGTGTGGCCAGAAAGCGCCGGCCATGACGCATACATTGTAAGATTTGTCGGTGCGCGCGCCGCCCCTGGGGCGGCGACGCACATATTATATAAATATGTGGGGGTGACGCCGATCAACTGCAGTCCTAGGATCAGCTCGTGTGCAAAGGTCGGCAGTGGCAACAGGAGTTGGCAGTGCGAGAAGGGCGCGCCGTGGCAGCAAGCCGTGGCACTGCGAGAAAGCGGAAGTGCAGGAGCTAACGTCACCGACTACGAAGCTGGGATCGGCTCGTGCGTGGAATAGCCATGGAGCAGCCGTGCACAGGAGGGTTATAATTCGTCGGGAGCTCAGGGGAAAGCCTGATGTGAGAAGCGAGAGGCGAAGCTGGAGCCCTATCTCGTCGGGCGGGAGCTAGAGTAAAACGTCCTCCGCTTCTGTTTCGGGATACCCTGCAGGGCTACAATTCATGAGGCAGCCCTTGTCGCCCAGGATAGGCCTGGGGGATGGTGCTGTCTCCTCTCTTCAGCCCTGATATTGTGCTCACAGTAGCGTTAATATGGCCGCTCGAATCCCTCTCAACTCATCCTGGTCCTCCACCTCCTCCTCCTCCTCCTCCTCCTCCTCCTCCTCCTCCCCCTCCTCCTCCTCCTCCTCTTTCTCCTCCTCTTTGTTTTTTTCTGATTACTTATGTATATATACACATACATACATACATACATGCATACATACATACATACATACATACATACATTCATGCATACATGCATACATGCATACATGCATACATGCATACATGCATACATGCATACAGACATACATGTATACGTACATGCATGCATGCATGCATGCATGCATGTATACATACATACATACATACATACATACATACATACATACATACATACAGACAGACAGACAGACAGACAGACAGGCAGACAGACAGACAGACAGACAGGCATACACACACATACATACATGCATACATGCATACATACATACGCACATACATACATACCTACATACAGGCCTACATACATACATACATACATGCATACATACATGCACGCATGCAGACATACATACATGCATACATACATGCATGCATGCATGCATGCATGCATGCATACATACATACATACATGCATACATACATACATACATACATGCATACATGCATACATGCATACATGCATACATGCATACATGCATACATACATACGTACATTACATACATACATACATACATACATGCATGCATACATACATACATACATGTGTGTCATCATGCGTGTCTTCTTCCTCCTCCTCCTCCTCCTCCTCCTCCGCCTCCTCCTCCTCCTCCTCCTCCTCCTCCTCCTCCTCTTTGTCCCCGTCAGTCCTTCTCCCCCTCTTCCCCACCCTCTCCAATCCCTCCTCCTGCCCCCCCCCTCGTCTACCTGCCCTCGTCCCAATTCTCTTTTGCTGCCTGCTCATCATCCTCCACAGCAAGCACGGTGGAGGCAGAGAGAAGCGACTTCAAGCACGCAAACTTATCAGAGCGAAAGAGGAACTGTAGTGAAAAAGTCCGCGCACTCGAGCGCGTCCACGTTATCCGCCACCGTGCCTTGCGCACCAAGTGGAGTGGTCTCGGATCCCTTGGAGTTCTCCGTGCTGAGCATTGCAAGGGCTCCTCAGGAAGCCCAGAACCCCAGCTGCCAGACCCCACGGGGCTTGTCGCGTGACGTTTGAACGACCCCGCATGATCTTTCCCGAGGGCTAATGTTCCGCCCCGAGGCGGGGAAAGCGAACGGCCCCAGGGAGCCCACCGGGCGGCCAACATCATTGGTTCTTGAATTCCAAAAGCTGGTCTCTGAATTCAAAAAACTGCTTCTGAGTGCAGAAAACAATTAAAAACTGATCTTGAATTCGAATAACATGTTTCAAGGAACTGGTTTTTGAATTCGATTCCCGCTGGTCTTGCAGTGAGTTTGGCGGTCTCGCCCCCTCGTGCCTCCGACGCTCCACGACGGCCCCTCGGGCCCCCGACCCGCCCGAAGCCACCACCGCCCCTCGGCCACCCAGCGAAGGGCCGCAGGAGCGCGCCGCGCCCCAGCTTCGGGCCCGGCTGGAGCCCAACGGCTGGCGCGGCACAGTCAAGCCTGGGTGCGCACCGCCCCGATCTCGTCCAGGCAAGGCTGACCCGCTCCCTTCTGCTGGCCCGCAAGAACCAGCGACCCGTCAGAAGCCCCACTTAGCGCATTGTCAATGGAACGTTCCAAGCCCAGTCTGCACCGAAGTGGGACCTCTGTCGGGATAACTTCGGAATCCGCCTCGGCATCCGTGTGTGGAGCTGATTGGGAGCGCCTCTTCTGCCTTAGGCACCAGCAAACGTAGGGCACCAAAACGTTGCGGCACTTTGCGTGCATCAGGGCCAAGAGTTCTACGAGGATGGGTTGTGATGCTATTGGCGGCCGGCTCGCCCCGAAACTCAAGAGTCCTTGGGCCCAGTGTTCGGATCGGCGAACAACCCGACGACGGGGTCCGACGCCGCCAAGATCGAGATTCTCGAGGGAGGGGACGACAGGTCGCCGCGTGCACCTCACGATCACAGCCCGGTGGCGCGGAAGTCGCCTGGGGCGGAAGGGTCACGAGGTGGAGCCGCAGCCGCTCCCGCGCAGCGTCAGGGGGTGTCGGGGATGGACAGACCCCCCTTTAGCAAAACGTGGTTTAGTGAAAACGACCTTAGGCCCAAACCTGGCGTGCGCAAGCCTGGAAAATAACGGCCACGGCGCCCTCTCGAAAACCGAAAACGGACAATTCACTAATCGACGTGTCACTGTTGGGGGTTCTGTCCACCCCCGAGGGTGCTGCCGCTGCGGTGCAGCTGCTGAGGCTGGTCTCGGTGCTGCGCCTCTGCGGCTGGCCAATTCAGGCGGCATTCGGAGGCACCCGGCTGGGCGAGCGATTACACGAAGCGGACAACAGGGGCCACAAGACCTCAGTCGTGGCGCGCACTCTGGTGGGCTTGTTTCCCACCGCCACCCCCACAAGTAGGAGGGGGAGGGGTTCCTCCTCCTCCTCCTCCTCCTCCTCCTCCTCCTCCTCCTCCTCCTCCTCCTCCTCTTCTTCTTCTTATTATTACTATTATGATTATTACTCTTCTTCGCATGAGTGTCATTATTCATCTTAAGATTAGCATTATTATCATTATTAGTCGCCTTAGTATGCTTAATATTGTTATTAGTATTTCTCTTATGTGTATTATGATTCGTCTTCTTATTATTACTATTATTATTAGCATTCGTCTTAGTAGTAATATTATTATTGCTATGATTATGAATATGTTTCCTCCTCCGCCTCCTCCCACTCCTCCTCCTCCTCATCCTCCTCCTCCTCCTCCTCCTCCTCCTCATCATCATCATCATCATCATCATCATCATCATCATCATCATCATCATAATCATCATCATCATCATCATCGTCATCATCATCATCATCATCATCATCATCATCATCATCATCATCATCATCATCATCATCATCATCATCATCATCATCATCATCATCATCATCATCATCATCATCATCAGCATCACCATCACCCATCACCCATCACCCATCATCAGCATCAGCATCAGCATCAGCATCAGCATCAGCATCAGCATCAGCATCAGCATCAGCATCAGCATCAGCATCATCAGTAGCATCATCATCATCATCATCATCATCATCATCATCATCATCATCATCATCATCATCATCATCATCATCATCATCATCATCCACCTCCCTCTCCCCTCCAACTTATGGTGGTGGTGGAGAACAAGCCCATCACACTCGGCACACCAGATGCGCTCGGCACTGGCGTGAAGCCCGTGCGAGGGGGCTCCCTTCCGACGTCGCCGCCGAAAAACCTTGGCCCTGGGAACTCTCAGGGACCGCGTCGCTCCCTCCCTCGTCCTCTTCCTCCTGCTACCCTACCTCTGCCTCTCTTGCCACCTCCTTCCCTCCTCCCTCCTCCACCCTCCTTCAATCTTCCCGTTTCCAAGGTTTCCTCGCTTCGCTCTCTCCCTCCCTCCCTCCCTCTCCCCCCCCCCACTCCACCGCCCACCCTTCCTCTTCCATCCCCTCCCGTTCAGTCTCTTGCCATCATTTCCGACCGGCTCCGCTCCTCTCCGCTCCCTCACCGGCCCCGTCCCTCTCCCCGTGTTGGCTTCGGAACTTGCCACGGCTGCTGCCGCCCCCATATCAGCCCTCCAACCAGCAGCTCCGCTTGCATACGCAAGCGCCAGAACGGCCAGAAAGGTTGCGCGGCGGGGCGAAAACCGAATGCGTCGCACCACACTGTCCCTTTGAAACTACCAACTGCGGTCAAGATAGCACAATACACATGAACTCTGAAGATGTCCCTCCCCTGCCCATGCGAGTCCTTATGGAATACAAGAAGCACCCAACAAACATAAAAGGGCGTCGACGGCCAAATCTCGTCCGTGTAGAATCTGTCAGATACGACATAAGAGGATCGGACTCCCCTCCCACAGGATCTCAAGACTCACAGCATGCAGAAGATACTGAAGCGGGAACGTTAGGGGGGACCGGCTCGTGGGGGAAACATCGAGCTGGAGTCGGCGATACTGACTACCTACCAGACCACCCCAACCCAACCCGAAGACCCGAATTTCGGGTTGGGGGGGGTAAGGCTTCCACATGTGTTTTTTCGATGTTTCCCGACCCCCCCCCCACTGGAAATCGAGGGTAAATCTGAGCCTTCGGGTTGGGTTGGGGTGGTTTGGTGGGTGGTGAGATACGTCGCCGACAGATCGGCGATGTGCCCCCGATAGCAAGCTCGAAGCTCCTGAGGCGGGGCGGGCTATCGGGCTCCAACCGGCCATGATTGAAGGGGCCCCAGGACACACAAATAAATGCACACAAATAAAGATATTCCCAATATTTTCACATATTTTCTGGGCTTCTGTCTTCCCCCCACTTCCCATATTTCCCCATATTTTCTGGGGAATCGAGGATGAATTGTGTCTGTGTGTTTCTTCTCCTCCTGACCAGTAGCAAGCTCGAAGCTCCTGAGGCGGGGCGGGCTATCGGGCTCCAACCGGCCACGACTTGGCGCTTGGGGGGGGGCCGACGCGTCTCCCCTCTCGGGGGCGCGCACAAGCATGGATGAGATTCGGCGCGCGGTCTCCAAAGTCCATGGATCGGGGGAGGTGCCCTCCCCAAGATGCGGCCCGTGCCGCCTCGCTCGGCAGCAGGAAGCCCGCGATTTCCGGTGGACACGGGGCCCGTTGCCAATCCACGCCCCCTTGATCCATGCTTGCGCTCGCCTAAGAGCAGTCCGGGGGTTGGGATAGAAGCATCGCCTGCGACGGGAGGCCCGTGTCGCTTTTCGACCCCCGGCGCTAGCGCCTGACACCGCGTGGACCGTTGAGCCCTGCGATCTCGCAGTAGCAGTAGGAGGAGAAGAGGCGGAGGAGGAGGACGAGGAGGAGGAGGAGGATCCATGTTTGCGATCGCCTGACCCCCCGTAGCGATGCCCCCTGGGTTTCAGGGGTCATGCCTTCGCTCTCCCCGGCGGCCGTGGGGACGATTTGGAGAACAAAAAGTGGCATAAACATAAACATTCGGAGGTCCGCGCGGATTTCCCGGATCGGCGCTGGACCCCCCTCCCTGGCGCGCGGAGCGCGCCAGGGGCGGCGCCGGAGGCGCCGCCGGGGGGCCCCAGCGCCGACCCGAGAAACCCGCGCGGACCTCCGAGTTTTATGTTTATGCCACTTTTTGTTCCCCTCATCGTCCCCACGGCCGCCGGGGAGAGCGAAGGCATGGCCCCCGAAACCCAGGGGGCAGCGCTACGGGGGGTGGGCTCGGGGGTCAGGCCTGCGCGCTCCCTGGCGGCCGCGGGGACGCTCAGCGGGCAGGCCCCTGGGAGAGCGCCTCTGCCGGCGAGGCGCAGCTGCTGCAGGCCAGCCCCGAGGCTGGAAGACCGCACGGCCGAGAGCGCCCGAAAACCTTCGAGCGCGTCGCCCCCCCCCCCCCCCCCCAACGGTAGGTCGGGCGTGTCTTCCTACGGGCGGATGTGGGAAGAAGAGGGAACAATACGAACACAGCGCAAAAAATACTCGAGAGGATCCGAAAAACAGTCGAAACATCGTCCCCGGACAGTTGCTCGACTATTCTTGAGCATTCCTCCTGCAGAGGGGCATGCCCGACTTAACCCTAACAGGACTCCTGGCAGTACGGTGGGGGTGTTGACTAAAGAATGTGCCAAGGAGACTTCAGATTCCTCATCGGATGAGGGCGGCAGCGATATCCATGGTCGATCCACGATTGGAGTTCCACTGGCTCCCAGACACTGGATTCCTCATCCAATGGTTCCTTATCCAATGCTCTCACCGTACTCTTAGGTCGGGCATGTCCCCCTACAGGGGGATTCTGGACGAACAAATAAAAATGTTCAAAACATGCAAAAAAAAATCAAAAAATGGTCCCCGTATTAATGTTTGACTATTTTTGAATACTCCTCCTGTAGAAGGACAGGCCCGACAGGGCCTCTCGCCGAAGCTCGAGCCCCTGCTCAATCCTTTCGCTCGCTCACTCACTAACTCCTCCTCCTCCTCCTCCTCCTCCTCCTCCTCCTCCTCCTCCTCCTCCTCCTCCTTCTCCCCCTCCTCTCCTCCTCCTCCTCCTTCCTCCTCCTCCTCCTCCTCCTCCTCCTCCCTCCTCCTGCTCTTCCTCCTCCTCCTCCTCCTCCTCCTCCTCCTCCTCCTCCTCCTCGTTGTCAGCATCAGCAGCAGCAGCAGCATCCCCATCCCCGTCCCCATCCCTCACGCTGCTTCTCTTGCTCCTCCCCCTCCTCGCTCTCCCTCCTCTTCTTCATTCGTCTCGTCCTCCTTCTGCCCTTGGTGCCCCCGGTGCAGCAAGGGGGGCAGGCCAGTGGTCACGTCCCTGCAGATAGAAGTTCCTCCTCCTCTTCCTCCTCCTCCTCCTCCCAGATGCTGAGTACCACCTCCTCCTCCTCCTCCTCCTCCTCCTCCTCCTCCTCCTCCTCCGCCTCCGCCTCCGCCTCCGCCTCCGCCTCCGCCTCCTCCTCCGCCTCCTCCTCCTCCTCCTCCTCCTCCCTCTCCCTCTTTCTCCCCCTCCTCCTGCTTCTCCTCCTTCTCCTCCTCCCGTGGCACCAACGCCGAATGACGTCAGACTTCCCCCCGAGATCTTACCCAGGCCCCCCCCCTTCTCGTCCTCATCCAATGGTGACCAGAGCCTTCAGGACACCTCGGAAGACCTCTGGACATCCTCCCAGTGGTCACCAGGTTCCTCGAAAAAGATGTGCACCCCGACAGGGACGATCCACAGGCATCGTTCGAATTGCCATGCCAGCGATCGACCAAGCGTGGATCGGCCATGCCAGGCAACACCAAACCCGAGCGAAGGGGTCGCCTGTGCAGACTTGCCTCCCAGCTGACTGAGCGGCAAGGTTCGCGGACATCAAACCTTCGATGCATCAAATTACCTGCGCCCCATACTACAGTAGGAGTTCGACCACAAGAAACCTTCCACAAAAAATCCACCCCAAGACGTCCGTTGGTTTGTGGCGTGGGAACGTCACGCTGTCCACAGCAAAACCCTCGAAGCCCAAGAAACCCAGGGCACCCTGGAGGCGGACAGGGGGATTATTGGCACGCGTTTCCACTGCAGTTGACCCGCCACACGCGCGAAAAGGTCGTCCCAGCAGTGGGGTACCATTTCACAGCAGAACCGCGTGCCCACGTGGTCACCTCCTTGTCGGCCCAAGTCCGACTCCTGCTCGTTGGACGCGGCCGGGAGGTCCGAACTGGATGGGCCCCGAGACGATCGGTCAAGAGAAGGAAATAGGGGCAAATCCGCTCAAATCGTTCCCCGGATCCCTCCCAGGGTCCATCTGGTGCACTTTGTCACTGGGGATCCGTGGTTGACGGTCCCATGGGCGAAAGACTCAGCAAGACTTGTACGCGGAACGTCACATACTGACTCGCCTGTGCTACTGCTACTGTGGCTTGCATGTGTGGATTCCTCTCTCTCTCTCTCTTTCTTGGCTGGTGATCTCTGCGGCAGAACAAACTTGAGAGAGCATTAGCACTGGCACTGTATCTTCACAACGATCGCTCACTTCGCATCCACCGCGTGCACACATGAATCAGACCAGACTATGTCTCACCTCCCTCGCTTCACGTTGCACCCTCCCCCCGTCCACAACATCGAACGACCGCGCAAAGGCTGTATAAACACTAATAGTTCCCAGGCTCGCGTCGAAGGACTGCGCAGGCGATGGCATGCACTGATGATCAAAACTGCATGCAGAGGGACGGCGAAGGTGGAAGAAACTCAACAAGAGAAGGCGTGCGAGATCGACTCCGAACAGGTCAGTGACACCGCGCGCGCAGAGCAGAAGTACAACTCGCAAGATAAGAAAGTACACGCGAACATTCAATACGGAAATTCCAAGAACGATGACTGAGGCTGCAAATTGGTGGGAAACGCAAGAGACAAACGGAGGGAGGGAGGGGGGGGAGTCGGGGGGGAGAGAGAAAGAGAGAGAGAGAAACAAAAAAGAGGTAAAGAAAGAGAGACAGAGAGAGAACGAGAGAGAGAGAGAGACATTATATCTTTGTATATATTGAAACGAAGAGAGAGAGAGAGAGAGAGAGAAAGATAAAAAAAACAAGAAAATAACTACTTATGTCTATATGTATATATGTACATCTAAATGAAAGATAGAGCGAGAGAGAGAGAGAGACAGAGAGAAAGAGAGAGACATAGAGAGAAAGCGTTTCTTGGACGCTTGCTTGGAAAAAAAACACCGTGACACGTTGGAACTGGGGGGGGCAACAAAAATATGAAGCGTCCCTGGAAATCTCGGGGGTCCTCTCCTTGGACACTGGCCTCCCTAACCAGGGGGGGGGGGCCAGGGAGGGGGGGGGAGATTCGAACCCGGGAGAAGGCGGCCCAAAGGCCCCCAAAACCACCCCAAGACAGCCCAAGATGCCTCCAAAAGGGCCCCAAGACGACCTAAGAGTACCACAAGACGGCCCAAGAGGCGCCCAAGACGGCCCAAGAGGGCTTCAAAACGGCCCCAAAGGGGCCCAAGAGAGGGAACACGAACCGAAAATCCGAGCCCTCCCTCCTCCTCCGCCTCCGCCTCCGCCTCCGCCTCCTCCTCCTCCTCCTCCTGCCCCTCATGCCCCTCAGTATCCTAATGCCCCTTCATGTCCTTCATGCCCCTTCATGACCGTACCTGGTTGTCATGGTGATGTCGCTGAGAGCTGCTCTTGCAGTCTTAGATATGCCTGATCAAGTTAGGGGTGGTTCTGGATATCCGGGTGCGTCTCCCGGTGCATTCGGGGGCTTCGTTCGTCTCGGCACTGACGCTGCACTCTGTGTTCCTGATGTCGCCATCCGCTTCCACAGCGATGCTGATCTTGTGCCTCAGGAGGAGTACTGGGAGATCGTCAGCCCCCCAGCGATCCACGCCGCTGGCCTGCCACGGTCGTGCCAGGACGTCCACGTGCTGGAGTTCGCTGTGCTCCTCGGTGACCAGCGACTCACCTGCATCCATTGCCACGTGCTGCGAGACGGCATTGAGGAGTGCGATCTGTCGGCGTTATCATGCTCCACTTGCGGTTTGGTGCTCTGCTGGGATTGCGCTCCGAAGGCCTGGCAGCGGTGATTATGTTGATTGATCCCTGGCGGCGTACTCCAGGTACGAAGTCATTATGGTCTTGTCCCTGGTGGCGCACTCCACGTAGGGTGTCATCCAAGCGTGCGCCTGTTCGTGAAATGTTTCTCCGACGCTGCAGGTGCACTCAGGCCTCAGGTGGCCTCGCCCCACCACCTGAGCGTAAGGCGGGGTAGCTTCGCGTTGATGTTAAAGATCCTCCTCCTCCTCCTCCTCCTCCTCCTCCTCCTCCTCCTCCTCCTCCTCCTCCTCCTCCTCCTCCTCCTCCTTTTCTGTGCAGGTGGCGTCAGGGGCCTGCCGACGGCAGGCGGGCAAGAGCAGACGCCTCATCGTCCGCACGGACGGATGAGGCAGCAAGGCAGGCGACCTCGTGGATCACGAGGACGAAACAGACAGGCTCGCAACAGGAACGCGTAGAAGGAATTGCAAGAACGGACCAGGGATGGTGGTGAGGACGAGATGGGGTGAGAGCTGCGGCGGTGCACCGACGGAACAAGTGAACACCTCCTTCGCGCCAGCAGGTGGGCCAATTAGCTCGCGAGTAACAGCACGAAGACCGAGGAAGCAGCAAGAAGAAGATAGACGTCAAACAGCAACATGATGGCTGAGCGGGAGAGCTGCCAACGGTCTTTATCTCATACAGAATGGATCGGCAAGAGCCTCGGTGATGGCGGCAGGCCCTGACTACAGTTGCCGCATCCCCAGGAGTCGACGATCCACCGGGCCGCCAGGGCCCCGAGCAGGCTAGCAGGCAGCACAGAATCGCAACATCCTCCAACAAAGCCTCCAACCTCCTGTGCACCTCCACCTCCACCTCCACCAACAGATCCTCGATCCTTATGGCTCGGGCTGGCTGCACGGCAGGAGGCACACGCCGCCTGCGAGCAGCCAGAGTTTGCAGAGAGGCCGATGGGCCAGAGTCCCAAGGCCTGCATCGCGAGAGCCCGATTGGACAAGGGCGCGCGGGCCAGCTGGCCTGTCGGGGGAGTGACCCGCTCGCGGTCATACGACCCCTGTCGCCAGCAATCGCCGCCGAGGAACGAAACAACACAAACGTCGCCGTCTCCACCGCCTACTCAAACCACCCTCCTCCTTCTCCATAAAGGCATCAATCACGCCCCGCCTATGTCACCCCCGCGAGACGGAGCAGGCATTGCGCCCCGTCGTGTCGCATCTCCACCACGCGGGGCCACTTATTCAGCAAGCCCACCGCGTCGCTCTCGCCAGCGTGCTGGGGGTCGAAGGGAAACTTCCACTGGTTCATGAACTTCCTGGACAACTCGCTGATCGGGAGATCGCCTTTGTCTGCAAGCGCTTTGTCCCGTAGCACACTCGCAACGCCGTTCACTAGCATCCTCGCGAGCACCTCCGTGTCATGAGCCGTAGTTCCCTCCCCTTATGCGTTAGAATCCAATACCAATCCCTCGTCATCCTGACACTCCTCGTCCTCCTCAACAGCCAAAGCGCGTTCGGCACGGTGGAGGCGTTGGCGCCGACGGACGAATTGGCCAGAGCTGGAACTGGCACGCCGGGCGCATAGGCGTAGCCAAGCCTCGAGAAGCCCACTCTCACCCAGCTCACCTCCGTGATGACCCAACTTGCCTCCGCGTTGAACCAGCTCACCTCCATGGAGGACCCGTTCACCTCCACGATGACCCAACTCACCTCTGTGCCGGCCATCACGTTGAGCCAGCTCATCTCCAGGATGACCCAGCTCACCTCCACGATGACCCAGCTCGCCTCCGTGCTGACCCAGCTCACCTCCACGATGATCCACCTCACCTCCGTGGTGACCCAGCCCACCTCCACAATAACCCAGCTCGCCTCCACATTGAACCAGCTCACCTCCACGATGGCCCAGCTCACTTCCACGATGACCCACGTCTTGCTCCACGATCACCTTCGCGTCCGCATCCTGGACGCGGTGGCAGCCGTCAGCGTTGCAAACCAGGATGACGGTCGCCACCTGGAATCCTTTCAGGCCAGTCCTGCGCCCGATCTCCACCTTGACGTACTTGTTGTTCGGCTGGCCTTCCACAGGGGGACACGGTGTCTTTGTCCCTCTGCACAGCCGTCGCCTGCTGCAAGGCGAAGGAGAGTTGCGCTGTATGGTGCAGCACCAGGTAACAAACGTCCTGGGCGACCGCGGCCTCGCCACGGCGCAACGAATATGCAGCGCGGCGTCGAGCAGCCTCTGCACGACTCCACGCTCGATCACCTGCATATCGAGAATTCCGACGATGGTGCCGAGAATCACACCGACCCTGACGTCGGTAGCCTCCGTCTCGCCAACGATGGCGGTCAAGGTCTCGTCGGTCACGCCGACGGTCATAGTCTCGTAGCCCTTCTTGATGATGGCCAGGCCGCTCCTGCCAGCAGAACATAGCTCAAGATGAAACTGGCAAAGTTCAGGTGAGCCGCACCTGCGGCCGCAAGCGAGGCCGCCGCGTTGAGCCCCGACCTCGCAGGCAGGCCCGATGGCGCGGCGCGGCGCGCGCGCTCCCGCCGCGGACAGCCCCCCCCCCCAGCGTAGGAGAGGTCAGGGCATCATCCTCCTCCTCCTCCTCCTCCTCCTC